TTCCGCCATTGAATCAGTCAACCTGTGAAATATATCGTCCTGTGAAACGCAGTTGTTTATTTCGACGTCGTTGGACATGTCTTCCGTCGGAGAAGAAGTCTTGACTCATCAATGAACCAGACTCGCCGATGTTGCTCCATCGCATACGTTGTCGACGATGTAAACGTCTTAACGTTCTCCTAGGGCTAATCCCTACCTCCTCTCGCAGATTGTTTGATCCTATACTTCTAGGCTCACGCCCTGCCGCTTCGGTGTCAGTAGCATGTGGAGGACGAAGATGACCCGGATGTAACGCTGTGCAGGGGAGGTGACTCTTGGTTTAACCCTGGAAGTGCACTTTTCTTGTCATAGTGAAAAACCTTTACATTTACTTCAATGAAGTTGGAATTAACTGTTCTGCTTCATTTTGAAATTTAGATAAACATAGCATAAAGGTATATCATCCTAACAACTTGCAACATGAGGCTAGTACCATGGTTGACATTAGTTTAATGGCAGTTGTCAACTTGTTGTGAAACGCTGTACGTGTACCTGTTAAGGTTGATGAAAGAGGATATTTGGTTACCGTATGTAAAATGTGTGCTTTATTGTGTAAATATGTAAATAAAATATACCTAATATGAATAATTGACACGTTTTATATACCTATGCCACACTATACATTTCACCTTATCCTTTCAAAGTGTCTGACTACAGAGCTATCAGTTGGACTAGTCCATTATCGTAATAGGTAACAGCCTTTGCTTTTGTGCTCAACCATATAATTGTGTGTATTGGACTGTCTGACAACTGGTTTGTCTGGGATATCCTTTTTTCGAGCACCTGGTGTCATAACTTATTTTTCAGTAAACCATGTATATGATATTCATCTCTGTTGTGCCTTATAGGCCGAATGGAATCTGTTTTGACAGATAATATATTTTTTGCCGTCGGCTTTTATATGGATATACCGAATTGTTCGGAGTCTCTGGTGATTACTGACCACACTGTCGGGTGGTCAGGCTCGCTAACTTGGTTGACACATGTCATCGGTTCCCAATTGCGCAGATCGATGCTCATACTGTTGATAACTGGATTGTCTGGTCCAGACTCGATTATTTACCGACCGCCGCCATATAGCTGGAATATTGCTGAGTGCGGCGTAAAGCTAAACTCACTCACTCACACTCTGGTGATGACTATATATTTTAGTCGAAATGCGTATGAGGAATTCCAGCTACATCGAACTAAAATTAGTGGTTTCTTCGAGTTTGTTAAAATCGTAGTTTACTGCTTGTTGTTCTTGCAGACGTATGGCGTCACCGTCCTCGGAGACGGCATCATCGGCGGCGTTGTCGGATTTCTGTGCAGTGCTGGTGTCGGCATCGGCTGTGTTGTGGCGGCTGGGGGTGTCGGCACTCTCGGTGTTGATGGTCTCCTGACAGCAGCCATCGTCGTCGGGGGCTTCATCGCCATCGGAACTCTCTTGGGTACTGCTGCAGGTTTCAGAGTGACATTTGGCGCACGGTCAAAACTTAACAGATTTCGAATGCAATACGATCTACTGAATTTCTACAGGTAAATATCAACTCCATTGACAGGACAATGTCGATGTACCCAAGAGACCCACCAGAATCATTGCGATCAAACATTGACCCTCTCGAACTACGGTTATCTCGAAACAATTTCGCGAATTTGAAGTAACGAAGCATCACTGTTCTTAAGCATAACCGACGGGATGCGGGACCTCTTGTGCCAGGGCTTATTAACTGCTTGGACGATATCCCGCAGTATTCAAACTCTACAATATATATACATTGAAAAAGGTATCGCGACACCCCATATGTTTCAGAGAGAAGCAAACAATGGCAACAAATTGAATCATTATGTAGTTCTGCTAACTTTTGTCGTATGAACTGTGGTCATTTTCGAATTCTGGCATACCGTCCTCAAGAAATCACGTTAGTATCAATAACCGAGCACAAAGTCAATATCTGGTTTAACCTCCGTAAACAGCAATAACATCCCTTACCCTCCTCCACACTGACTCTATCAGATGTTGAATTTGACGCTCTAGTATTGCGTCTCTACCTCATTTACATTGTCATGTCATTTATTATGTTATATGACAAGTCTTTACACGTTTTGCTGGACTGTACCCTGGTTTGTATCTAAGTTTTAATGCCATAACTTGTATGTACCACTGCGGCTGCCAATAGTATCATGGTTGTCATAGTAACGTAATATTTACCGTCTACAGAACGTTTCTTCAAATATGACTGTGAAATGAAAGAAACATGCTGTGCGGATATCTATCCAGGAGATACTCGTATTCTTCTCTACCCCTGTGTGACCGACCTAAATAATAATATACTCCAGGAAACTGTATTGATACTGTGATCTGATGTTTCATTTCGCATGACATCTTTTTACAAGGATCCATTGATATGTACCGTAATCTGCCAAGATATATACTTAATTAACACAATAGAACTAATTGTAGATGTGTTCCATAAGTAGATCTACATCTACCTTGTTATTGGTATTACACAGATATGAAGAACTAGGTCATGGCCTACCAAATGGGTGTCAGAATGTATTGTGGTATATATATATATATACGTTGAAGGGAAATAAGAATTTAGGTCCTAATTTCAGTTCTGAAGACCGAAAGAATGTCATTTTTATCAAATTCATATTCGGGAAAGATACCAGAGAGATACCCGTGGATAGTCGCAGCTAAGTGCCCCTCCGATTTGCATAGGATAAAGTTCAACTGGACTTATAATGGAATACATTTAATACTGTAAACTATCTTCGCACTTGGGCGGTGTATATCCAGCATCGTCACCCTGCATGGATTGTGTTGAAAGAACTCCTTCTGTGTCTGACATCAGCATCTGGTGCCACATCGGTAATTAATTTACAGAAGATGTCCCAGAAACACCATCATGGTTGGAAGCTAACTGACACGAAGCTTTCATAGAAAATGGGTACTGGTAGTTAGTTCATTAGTGTTGCAAGTAAATGTACATTAGATAATGACATATTCTAGTGGACTTGACGTGATCAAACGACACCAAGCGACTTAGGACAATTGGCAATGGCAGGACATCAATATAATGTCATTGTCATTGCAAATTCATTAGTAATCGTGTATTCTAGTAAATTAGGTTAAATAAATTATTCATTGCATAGAGGACCGGTAAATTCATCTTAATAAATAAGTTATTAACCTTTCACATCGAAGTAAGTACTATTTAACCACGGTGGCGGTCCCGAAATGCTTTGGTCAGTTTATTTTAGAGGAAAACATGTGTATCATTAACAGAAAGAATATGCCCCTACCCGTTTGCCCTGCATTCTGCCACATACAAAACCCACAAGCAAAGTAAAAACATACAAGTGAGTGAGTGAGTGAGTTTGGTGTTACGCTGCAGCCAGCAATATTCCAGCTATATGGCGGCGGTCTGTAAATAATCGAGTCTGCACCAGACAATCCAGTGATCAACAGCATGAGCATCGATCTGCGCGGTTGGGAACCAATGACATTTATCAACCAAGCTAACGAGCCTGACCACCCGACCCCGTTAGTCGCCTTTTACGACAAGTATGGGTTACTGAATATCTGACATAGATTATTAATATGACACATTAGACATTGTATAAAACATAATGCCAATACGGCGTAGTGGTGTGGTAACAGTTACTTGACAACAATTACTTGACATGATCACTGCAAATATGTCCTGACGCCAGACAGACGCTAGGTAAAATTAGGAAAGTTCGAGAGTGAAAGAGGAAGGAGGTGGTGGAGAAACAGTACGTTTGGTTTCAGCTGCACTTACGGTAAGACAACGAACAAAACCGACACCAGTGGTAAATATCATGTGTTACTGCAAGGCCAGTTGACTGCCACGGTTTTGGCAAGCATTTTCCGGATTTAGGCAGAGTATGCACATCAGTTTGAACCTCCAAAACTGCAAACCAATACCGAGGTTAATCCTAATAAAAATACCCAAACTGGCATTATCTCCACCCTCACCAGACGAGCCATCAACCTCTCCTCCACCAGTCCTACAACAGAAATACAGCACCTCTGCCATGTTTTCACCAAGTTCAACCACTACCCGTCAAAGCTAGTCGATGAAATTATCAGCTCCACACTCCACCCAACAAGAAAACCGGCCTCCAACAAACCTGAACCAGCACCTATTCGTATCTCTCTCCCCTTCATAGGTAAGACCTCAACCCCATCAGCCGTCTCCTGAAGCGACAAGCAGGCATCGAAACCTACTTTACCAGATCTACGCCACTAAAACCCTACTGAAAGCTAATGGCAGGAACACCTCTAAACGACCTCAACTGTGACTGTGGCGAGGCCTACGTAGGCGAAACCTCCCGGCCCATAAATATCAGAATCAAAGAACACTTATCATCTGCCACTAAATCTGACAGAAAATCAGCAATATCAGACCACATCATCAACTGTCCCATTCAAAAACATAATTTGGGACAATGTAGAGATATTATCGAAAACAGACCAAGACTTCACCCAAAGAAAACATGCAGAAGCAGTTCAATTCCGGAGACACAAGCCCTCAATCAACAGAGACCAGGGATATCTCATCCCTTCTGCATACAATGAACTGATAAAAACAACAGATTAGAGCACTCCAGTTATCATTGCTAATTAATCTCATCAGCCATGTATATTTTGTTTCTGCCTCTAGGACCATTGGCTTCCTCCTATTGTCACTACATTATTACCACCGTGCCTTGTTGTTGTTGTTAATCCCCTTGATTCATACCTACATGTTGTTATTACTTAATCCCTGTTGATGTATACATGTATAAGTCTGTTCTGTGCTGTAGTACTTCACTCTTGCTTGACAACGGTATAAGAATCCATACCGAAACGTCGCATCATATATAATAAAAGAAGTAGTTATCCAAAAAGAATCTTACTTTCTTCCTAATAAATACATCAACAATAATAACTCCCATGAATAAGTCAACAATTAAAAGTTAAGGTACTTATTTAATCATTAAATAAATAACATGGTACAAAGAAATACAACAAACTTAGGCCACCAGTTGGTGTGGCCAAAGGAGTATTTTTATATTTGTGGCAACATTAACGCACAATAGAAATATACACGTTGGTTAACCTCTAAGCATAATCGTTGAAGTCAGTATCCTCAATCGTGACCAATAGACAGCTGTTCACACTTCCTTTGCTGACACGGTCGATAGTTCCAGGAATTAGCTGCTGTCAAGTTCATGACTATGTCTCGGACTTACATGGTCCAGATCGCCTAAGATTTGTCAACATTTGGAGTTGTAAACAAGATTCACTGTAATAAGATCCTTGGTCTGTTTGGACTATCTTGTTTGACCAGGCTTGCTGACTTGGGTGATGATATCGCAACCCTTTTGCGTGCATCGATGCTCATGAAGTCAATCACTGGATTGTCTGGTCCAGAATCAATAATTTACAGCCAGCTGTCATATAGCTGGAGAATTGGTGAATGCAATGATAAATAAAATATAAATAAACAAATGTAAAAAATGTTCAGATCGGCGTTAAATCCACTTCCCTCCATGAGTGACTAGTACAGTTAGTGTGTTGACGGCAATCTGTACTTATGTATCACACCATTAGACAGTCCTACGTACAGTTTTCCATCAGCATCAGTCGCAACACAACTCGGGCCAACAACGCCGTCACTTGAGGTCAAAACCTGTCCAGCAAACTGACCATCAGCTTTAACTTTGATTATGGCGTTTTGGGCGTGATCGGCAATAAACACGTCTCCTTGGGCGTTTGTAGCAACACCTCTGGGTGACTGTAGCGTCCCATCCCTTAGTGGAGGGAACAGAAACACTTCACACCCATCCTCGTCCAGACATATGACCTTGACCTTGCCTGCATCACTAACGATCACGAGACCATCGCGAGATTTGCACAAATATGACGGATCGTCGAAAAGTCGTTTAGTTTTGTTAATCACGCAAATAGCTGTCAAAAAGATTGAAGACGAGTCGTCCTCGTAGGACACAAAATAGAGTTTGGGTCCATCTTTATCTTTAAAGCACCCTACGAACAAATTAGGTTTCATGAAACACAAGCTGTTAAAGACGCAATTACACTCCAGCACTCGGACTAGTTTTATCTCTGGTGTTACGTTGAGGAATAGGATCGACCTGGTATCAGGGACGCTGACAGCCACCGTTTGGTCTCCAACGGAAGTTATCCCCCTTGGTGCATCCCCAATGAGCTTGGAACAGGAAGACAGCTTCATCCCATGGTGACAGAATGACCTTACTGTCTGATTCACGGCGTCGGTAACGACAATAATTATCTTGTCGTCGACGGTGATGAGGCACATGTCATGTATGGTATGTTTGCCACCTTTACCTTGTATAATCTTCTCGAGAACAGCCTTATCGCTCAGGTCGGACCTTGAATCCTCAGGCGGGTCGGAACGAGCTGAAGCCGGACCTTCCCGTTCACTTGTCAATGCACTGTCAATTTCAGGCAGATTTACGTTCGCTTCCGATAGGGATATTATTTCCTCTTCCGATGTCACTTGTATTGGCAGGGATGTGACTTTCATGTCTGTGTCACAAAGGTCTATTTCAGATTTGGATTTTAAAGCGTTTGATATCGACAGTAAATGTTCCTTGGACTGATGCATAAATTCAGCGGCGGAAGCAATCTTGTGTTTTAACTGTCTTTCATTGCTGTGGAATTTGGAGTCGATTTCAGCCATAAGTATAGCCTCTTTCTCCTTCAGAATTGCTCTCTGTCGATCAAATTCTCGACCAACGTAGTCCCTTCGCGAGTCTACGTGTTTCTTTAAATCAGCCAGCGCCTGTGACAATCTGGTTTCTTCCAAATATACCCTTTCCAGGTTGTGCTCGATCGCCGCCCGCTTACGAGTTAGGTTCTCCTCGATCAGGGCTCGACTATCCGCCACAGTGATAATGTCGTGACATGTACGGTGGTTGACAACCTGACAGGTATGACAGAGACTTACTCGACAGCTTGTACAGTACATCTCGATGGCTCGCCCATGCTCACTGCAGAGAAGGGTGCCTCTTCGGAGGTTGCCGGTGACATGTTCCCGAGCATCCACCACTTCGTGTTCATCCTGCTTCGTGTGGAGGTTAAGACACTGGCTACAGATCGCCATGTCGCACGTGTTACACCAGTGTCGAGCTCGAATCTGCCTTTCAGATAAACATCCCTGGCATTCTGTAAGAAAAACAAAACAAAACACATGTGAACATATTGAGGAGAAAAAACTTGAAAGAATGATAAATATATTGTTAGCGTTCATGAATGATGCCACTTAGAGACGTATCATTATCATACAATAATACTGGTACCGGAACGTAAAATGGAATTTTAACGTCAGAAAAAAAGTGGCGTCCTAATAAGAAACCACTTTCGTAGACGCAACATCAATTACAGGTTGTTCAGCTTGACCTGATCAAGTGAATACTAATGCATTGCAAGACCGTGTCACAACTGGTTGGGTCTATTACTGTGAAGGGGTGCGCCTTTGTCAGCAGATTGTCAACATGTCCGTACAGCCGAGACAAGGTCGATAGAAAAAAAATGATAATTGAACTGGGTGGAGAGAGTGATAGCGAGAGTGAATTGGATTCTGAAAGTAACTGACTTTACATCGTTAAGTTAGTAAACCAAACTAGATAGCATATGACTGTAAAAACAATTCATGTTTTAATTGAATTGTTTTTTCAGAAGTGTTGTTTTCCGGGACAAGTTCTGTAACGAATCCATGTATGCATGTTTCGCACGAACGCATTAATAACAACAGTCTCTGCTCCCCTATTTAATGAAGTTAACTCAACCAGCCGTTTGTGCCATTGACCTCTCGGGTCATGCATATGTAGAGTGGCTCAGGTCAAGCTGAACAACCTGTACAACGCTTAGACTTGAAATCAGGTCCAGTTCTAAATAGAACCGTTCTAAATATGTCCATTGGTTCTGCTTTCTGGTCGGCATGCGGGGTGTGGGTATATTCATAATATAAGGTCAAATAATTGTGGACGCCTTCAATAAAAAAAACCCAAATAGACACAACGTTTGCGCCTTACTCTGATATATGATACTTGATTTCAATGAATACTGACGTTTATATCCAAGAGCTGACGAGAGCTTCTGGTACCACGTTTCTGAGAAGGATGGTGACGCCTTGACAGGAGTCAGGTGATGAAGACAAGAGGGAACTCTACAAGGCTCTTTGATCAATGGGATGATAGTACACCGATCTGTTCTGAGAGAGTGTGCAAGTATCTGGTCCAGATCATACGTGCTCCACTTGTTGTCGACATAGGACGGAGAGAGAACGATGAGGAATGTATCCGATGTGTCAAGGAAAAACTGGCTATTTTCCCACTCGGTTTTGCCTGGATGGTAGTCCCGATAGTGGTTAACACACTTCATGCTGTAAGGTGCTGCCTCAAGGTGGTCAATTAGCTCCTCAACCCACTCCCTGTCTTCGTCCGCATACGATAAAAAGGCGTCGTATCGGAGAGCGTCACCCTGTGCCACCCCACTCGCCATGGTGACGCCGAACTGATCTGGATAAATGATATATTATGAGTTATGTTAATCATGACATGTTCCCAGTTCATGTGAGCTTTATAAAAACAGTTTTACTTGGTTTCCTATTTTTAGGAGAACAATATATCCCTACGATTAGACACCTATTCATAAGCTGATATTTCAGAACGTTGTGTTGGGCTGGGGGTACAGAATGTACCAAAGACTCGTATATAATGGCGTATTGAACTCGCGTACCGCCACAATGTGTCACGGTATCATGCTTCAGTTAGCCTGTCTCACAGTCCCTGAACCCAAATAATTATCCCTACAGCCTAGCCCTCCCTGCAATGCTAATTAAGGGACCGGCGTGCGTGCGTGCGTGCGTGCGCGTGCGTGCGTGTGTGTGTGTGTGTGTTGATATTAATGAAGAAGCATATGCAATGTGAATGTAAACTCTGAAGTCTATGTACAAAATCAATGCCTCTAAACACACACACACACACATCCCGAACCCATCCCACGCTTCTCCTAATTCATCACCCCCAAGCCATAAATTATGAACAGTCCCTAAATGAAGCAAGTCTAGACTTCCCCAGATATCTCTGGTCTCCCTGGGGCTCTTTTTCAATTTAAATGGGTTAATTTGTTGCAATCAAAACTACATACATTCAGGGACTAAGCGTTAAAAATTTAGTCTAAACTTCAGTCTGCGTTCCACTGTACGGTTTAGATACACTGGTGGTGAATTATTCAAACACAACAGGAATAATCAAGTAGCATAAACGATATAGGGTTCTTTATATTGTACGTGTGTTGGGTAAACTGATCACAGTATGGCAATAAACAGTTCATGACGTAAACAGTCAGTCACTAGTTATTCTTATCGCCCATACTGGACGTGTAGCGCGACGAACACTCCCTGATCATGTCTCGAGCTGCACGTTTAGTGACGACAGTGACCCAGATTTCGACATTTCGAATGACAACAAATGGTCCTATACAAGTGTTGCCAGGGGAGTGTACACTGTACTTTATTGATGAATACAAAATGTATATAACTGAAAGTATTGTTTAAAAAATACATACCGTTAAGACAGAACAATTCCTTAAGTATCAGTTAATGTAACCTCCCTCGAGCTTCCCGAGAACCAAGGCAGGGTCGCCTCAGAGGTCAGTACAGTCTGCGTTTGCGAGGCTCTAACCTCATTAATGTTTCAAACTATGAACACCTTTAAGGTGAAACTGCTTGTACTGCGCGCTACGCCTTCATTTGTTCCAGTGCATGGAGAGTCAGATGTGTATTTGATTGACGTCAGATTTTGTATATCCGATGGGTACAAACTGAAATATCATGCATTCCCATGAACCCAAAATAGAACCACATGGGCTGGTGGTCTGTTTTAAACACACAGTAACCCACCGTTGTGATGGTGTCAAGCTCCTCACAGGGATGATCATTCAGAAACGTCTCCACGTGTACATGAATAAATTTCGAATCGATGTACACTATATCAGTATCGTATACGTATTTGAATGTATGGGTTTGACTGGTTTCTTCCTAAGGCGCACCTGTTTGAAACCCTGCGCCCATTACTTAGTGATAACAAACTCTGCTAGTCACAATCGTACCATGCCAATAAATCTAGTGAGTTACTGAGTATAGTTTTACGCCGCTGTTACCAATATTCTAGCAATATCGCACCGGGGTGACAATCAATGGGGTTCGTACATTCTTCCCAGATGGGTAATCGAACCTAGACCTTCAGCGTGACGAGCTAACACTTCAACCACTAGCCCGCTTCCTATGTTGCAAATCCATTTCTATGGCTGACTGGGTTTAGTTTTACGCCGCTTTTAGCAATATTCCAGCAATATCACGGCGGGGGACACCAGAAATGGGCTTCACACATTGTGCCCATATGTGGAATCGAACCCGGGTCTTCGGCGTGACGAGCCAACGCTTTAACCACTAGGCTACCCCACCGCCCCCATTTCTGTGGAAGGTCTGCAGTGTCAGCGTTTTTCTGCCGGGCCAATTTCAAACTGAGGTTGCCATTTACGGGTAGCCGTCGTGCACAAAACTAATGTAAGCTGCGACAGTAAACGAATATACAGTGTCATGTATTTGTATTTAGAAATAGGCTATATTTTCGAGTGAACGTTTCCTATTTGAGATTGGCGATGTTACATGATTATATGAATGGGAGATATTATTGATTTATATGAATATATTATAGCTCGCAAGACAAAAATGTTTGTTAATCAGTATTGCTACCTAGAGTTTCATCAGCCGGAAGAAAATAACTAGGAGCATACTGCTTTTGTCGAGATGTAATAGTTAATGAATAATTTAATTTTGACACAGTGTCTCCGTGACCCTGGAGTTTGCGTTAACGGTTACTTTGGGGTAGCCTATTGGTGTAATTGTTCGCCCGAAGACTCGAGTTCGACTCCCAATATGGGCGCATCGTGTGGTGTACTCATCGTGATATATGTAAAGTGGCTTAAAACTTTTCTCAGTCATGCTCACGTTAACTGTTATATCCTCCCATGTCAAACACCCTGAGTTAGCAGTCAAACACCGCATTGAATGACAGATCCTAGTTCTAGCTAACTGACCAGGTCGTGCTCCTTAAACACGCGGCGCCACGCTCCAACCTCTGAATCATCAATCCGATCGGAAATCAGTGTGAAACCGGACGGTTGGGTCTTATTCATGTTATATGAAAGTACAACCAATGTATCGCAGATAGGAGAGCGTCTTTTGCAGTAGTGTTGAAAGGAATGAACATGTGTGTGTGTGTGCATGCTAAGACAGCACTCTGGTGTTTTGTGCTCAGTCTCTGTTGGACATTTATAGCTCCACTCAAATTGAAAATTAAGGAGCACCAGTGAGCTGCGAGATTCAAAACCTGAGGGAAATCTAGCCTTGCTCTATTTAGGGCCTTTGCATTACTGATATTTCTGGGTGAAAGGGAAAATAATGTGGTTCAGTGACTTCGAGATGAGACTGGTCCCCTACAAGCAGGTCATTAAGTTATTTATTACATATAGAAGAATAAAGATTACAAGGATATGGGTTATACTGTTCGTGGGTAAGGATAAGCGTATTGGGTGGTTGTTTTTCATCACTACAGGGCAATAATTACCACAAAACCTTTATCATTTGGAGTCGGAATGAAAGTTCAAGACAGGAGGAACATGGGAAACAGGGATAAAATTCCGACAGCTTTAGACATAGCCAGTCTTTGTTTCCTCCGTTTAATGCCAATCACCAGGCAGGGAAACAACAAATACCACATTTTAACACCGTTGGGATGATGCGTACATGATTCACACCGTCGATCTTTACACAAGACCACAAAGTTAGTCGTCAGAAAGGTAAGGTATGCGGTTTTCACTCGACCAAACATTTCAACAAAAGGAAATGCCTCAAATCGCTGCATTGTCAGGGAGTACCCTCCTGATACGGATGTTGTATGAATGGATGTTAGTGTAATAACGCAGCCGTGCCGTCAACCGGACCCATTAATTGTATAAAACTAAACCTTGAGTATGGTCACTTGTAAACTAAGTAAATCTGCCAAAAATGTCACAATAAGATCAATTTATTGGAACAAAATGTTCCGCAATCACCTCAGCCTTTGGAGCACAATCTAATTATATGTTCCATCCCTTGTGCGATTTACATAGCAATCCTCAAAACCATTGTTCAAAGAACTCCCGAGCCTTGGCCCCGTTTAACAAAGCTCTCGTAAGCCTAAGATTTCTTAACTTTTCTCGTAGCATTCGTACCTCCTGGGTCTAGATTTTCGAAGCTCTCTTAACCCTAAGATAGTCGTAAGTTAATGTTAATGTATGGCACTTACGACTATCTTAGCGCTAAGAGAGCTTCGAAAATCTAGGCCCAGTATTAACATTGACGTACGATAGTCGTAGCGCTACGAGAGCTTTGTGAATGTAGCACAGCAATGGCATGAGAGGAAGAATTTTATTAAATACAAAAGAATTGCTACAATGGTTCAGAATTATCTCAGACGATTAAATACTCTCAAGAAAGCACCATCTGTGAAGTAGACAATACGAATTGGAGGCTGATGAGCAAGGGGTGATTAAAGGTAGCTATCGATCGATAACAAAAGGCGGCAAACCTGAAGTAAACCAGTCAGGGGGTAGTTCACATTCTAACATGTAACACGATATATGCAGCCCCATTCTTGGTTGAAGACAAGCATGTTTGGCTTGGTTCTCGTAGAAGTTACAAGACAATATTCCTTCGGAAACAATGCCGAATATATCTTAGGCTATAGTACATCATTAACTGACTGTACAATATAGAGAGAGATGAACGTGAATAGATTGTTTTCGTAGCTGGTGTGAACGATCATCAGCTTAATGAAAAAGACAATCAACTATATGGCGAGGCTGCATTTCAATATTTAATCGTTCATTGTACAAAACCACCATTGCAGATGTGTTTTGGAAAGTGTTTAAACGTTTAATGTTTTATGCCGCACTCACCAATATCCCTTGATATAACGATGGTCTTAAATACTCGAGTCTTGATCATATACTTCGTGGACCGACGTGAGCATTGATCTACGTGAGGTGGGTTTCAATATCAGGTTTTATCTGGTTATGATTCTTTTGCATTGTCAGTGTTTTGCTCCACAAGTGTTTTCTTTCTCAGATATCCCAGCATATTATTACAATTACCCAAACTCCACTAAATTTACACTGTTGTTAACAAACCCAAATGTAATAATATTTAAGAATTTATCAATATTAATACATTGTGCCTTTTCTTGCAGGAATAATTGGATAAATGAAAAGAATTTTTTAAAATAAATTAAATAAATTAATAACTACACTGGGTATGGGTATATGTTCCATGAAGTTTTATATTGTATTAATGATGGACTGTACTATGGGCCCGTGGCCTTGTGAGTACTGAAATAAAGAATACTGACCAAGAGTGATGCTTTCACAGACAACTGATCCTGAATAGTGCCAGTACTGGATTCGAACCCATGAACTCTTACAGCGTGTGACGAGGCCGTGGATTCAGGGTCAGGGTGGTTTATTTCACAATTCGGCTTTCTAGATATATTCACAAAACATCAAAAGCAAATATCGCTCTTATATTCTGGTCATGTTATTCTTTCCAGTGCTTCTTATTTACAGATGAAGTTTAACTTTATGATATAATGATAAAAGAGAAGAGTTTGAACATAACGTCTTGATTCAACCCACCAGGCGTGAGTGAATTTAGTTTTACGCCGTTGTAGCAATATTCCAGCAATATTGGAAGGACGAGGGACACAAGAAATGGGCTTCACTCATTGTACCCATGTGGTACATCGAACCCGGGATCGTGAGCATGACTGGCGAACGTTTTAACCATTAGGCTACCCCCACCCACACAGAATTGAACACTTGCCCCAGTGCATCACAAGGAGTGTTTGTCCTGTGTGGGCACTGCTCGAGGGTTTTCTGTGGAATGTTCATGAAGAGGTCAGGAACCGTGCCCTCTTGTAAAGTCCTTTTGTAAAGGTACTACGTGGTTTAGAAGGCTGAAGTGCTTATGTGCATGGGTTGGTAGATAGACGCACTGGTTCGTTTTGTCTATACAACAATTCAACAATACCATTCGAACGAAGGTGTATATAATATTCGATACCGTTACTGGTCCTCATTATCGAAGTTCCAATCGATGTAATATCTTCTCCCTAATTGGGGACACGAATTGATTATTCAGTCATCCTTGAAAGGTATGAACTAACGCCAATTCTATGGTTAATAGAATAACATTACTCACACTAACCATATCGATAATAGAAAGCAAACAACAACCGTCACATCAAGTCGTGCGTGTGCTCATTATCTCCTGTGTGGGAAGAGGAGCCGCTGTGATCATACCCGCCTTCATGTCTTAATATATGTGACGAAGCATTGAAGTCATCTGACACTAATCATGAAAACATAACCCTGTAACACACTCAAACTCCACGACAACGTACTCATGGGCCATGAGATTATGGAATGCGGAAGTGAAATTTACAAATGCCTTTGCATTGAGTTGTGCCAAATATTCAGCAATGTCATGTGGTTAGGCAGAGAATTCCACTTTGTATTCTACCAACGTTTTTGAGTTTACAGTCTATAACTCTGAGAGCATGCAGCATG